CCGCTGAGCAGAGAGCCCGATGCGGGGCTCGATCCCAGGACCCTGAGATCATGACCCGAGCCGAAGGCAGCGGCTTAACCCACTGAGCCACCCAGGCGCCCCTCTGTCTTCCTTTTAAAGAAGTATACGGTTGGTGGCAACAGGGATATACCTTAAATCACTAAAATCACTTAAATTTTTAACCCACAGGCTGTAGTCTAACCTGGAACTCCATCCCATAGTGAAAAAACTTCCCTCATGACTACAGCCTGCCTTCTCTAAAACTTGAGCTCCCTCCGAGACTGTTCATCTCGCTCTGGAATAAGGGTCAAGGAATAGGGTCAGCATTCTTTGCTATCTCCAGAAGAACTCCCATGTAATCCTGCATCCAACCCCTCAGGAAAATGGCTCTCCTCTGGCATCTCTGCCCATCCCTCCCTCACTCTGTCTAAGCTTCCTTACCAGCATCTTCTGCAAGCCTCTGGGGTATAATCTGCAGCTGCTTACACTCACCGCACTCCACCCCAAGGCCTGCTGGATCTTGCTGGATGATTTTAAGGTCCATGTGGATCACCCATCCAACGTCTTGACCTTTTACCCTATTCCCTTAAGCTTCTGAACCTTCTCCTCACCATTGCTTCTCCGTGGCTTCATCGGCAGTACCTCTGAAACTCTTAAATAGCACTCTCTCTCACTTGCTCTCTTTCTGTCTCCTTCTCTGAGGTGAAATTCACCTAACATAAAGTTAACCATTTTATTTTTTTAAGACTCATTTATTTATTTTGGAGAGAAAAAGAGAGAGAGAGAGAGAGAGAGCAAGTGTGCAAGGGAGGGGTAGGTCCAGAGGAGTAGAGAGAATCTCTCCAGGATCATGAGCTGAACCAAAGGCTGACACCTAACAGAGTGAGCCACCCAAGTGCCCAGTTGGTTTCCTTTAAACGCTACTCTCCTTGGCTTATAAGATGGCCGCCCTCTTGCTGACCCTTCACATGGATGTCCGTCTGTGAGCAGGTACCCTAGATGTCTCTTTCCCATAAGAACACCAGTCATACCAGATTAGGGCCCCACCTTACTATCATTATTTTACCTTAGTCACCTCGTTGGGAACTTATCTCCAAATAGTCTTACATTCTGAGATACTGGGGGTTGAGATTTCAATATGTGAGTTTGGGGGGACATGATTCAATCCATAAAAGTTGCTTTTCGTGGCTGAATAATATTCTATTGGGTGTATATACCACATTTTGTTTATCCATTCATCCACTGATGGACATTTCGATTGTTTCCACCTTTTGGCTATCGTGAACAATGGTTTCATGAACATTCAGGTACAAGTATTTGCTGAGTACCTGTTTTTAATTCTCTTGGGTATATACCTAGGAGTGGAATTGGTAGATCATACAAATCTATGTTTAACTTTTTGAGGAACTGCCAAGTTGTTTTCCACAGCAACAGCACCATTTTACATTCCCACCAGCCACATGGGAGAATTCTCCACATCTTCACCAACTCTTGCTATTGAGCCCACTCCCTCTTCACTCTTCAACTCCATTAGGGCATTTCTCCCACTGAATTTCTTCACTCAACTTCATCCGCATCTCTTGTCCCTTAAATCCTTACATTCCCCCTAAAAGCTATCTCCATTTTCATTTCTTTCCACAGTTAATATAAACCACGTAATTCATTATGTGTGACATTGACTCCCCAGGTGTCAGTTTTCCGATCTATAAAATGGGGATGATAATATTCCTCAGAATTGTTTTAGGAACCAGATGAGCTAGGGGACACCTGGGTGGTTCATTGGTTAAGTGTCTGACTCTTGATTTCAGCTCAGATCATGATCTCAGGATCCTAAGATGGAGCCTTGCTTTGGTCACTGTGTTCAGTGGGGAGTCTCTGGAAATTCTCTCTCTGTCTCTCTCTCCCCCTCTCCCTCTTGCCTTCCCCCCACTTGTGTGTGTACACACTCTCTCTTTCTCTCTCCCTCCTTCTCTCTCAAATAAGTAAATAACTCTAAAAAAATAAAAAAGAACCAAATGAGTTAACTGCTTGAAGTGTTTATTTCAACACATATTAAGCATTCACTAAATGGTAGCTATGATAGTGACTATCAGATTTCTAATTTTGACCCTTACGCTTTCTCATAAACTCCAGGCTGCCACTGGTCATTTTCAACTGCATCCATTCAGTTCATTTCATTCACAGATATTTATCGGGGCACCATACTAGGCAATGGTTACAACAGTTAACATAATAAACATGGTCTCTGCTCTCAAAGAGTAAAAGGAAAATAGGCAAATAAGTGTGTGTTTATACATTTGATAGCTGCTATTTTCATAGGCAACTTAAGTTTAACATCAAAATTAACATTATCTGGGGCGCCTGGGTGGCTCAGTGGGTTAAAGTCTCTGCCTTCAGTTTAGGTCATGATCCCAGGTCCTGGGATCAAGCCCTGCATCAGGCTCTCCGCTTAGCAGGGAGCCTGCTTCCTCTTCTATCTCTCTTTGCCTGCCTCTCTGTCTGCTTGTGATCTCTGTCAAATAAATAAATAAAATCTTTAAAAATATTAACATTATCTTCCCTCCAAACCAGATGTTCAGACACCACCATCTACCCAATTAACCAGCTGAAAAATCAGAAGTCATTTCAGCTCTTGGAACCTCATTGAGATGCCTTATCTCCCATTCCATGACTACCCCTATTTGGTACTTACTACCAATCAAGCACCAAAACCCAAGAATAATATCTTGGGAATAGGAGCAATGAGGTAAGAGTTGGGATATTCCAAGTCCCCTTATAGAAATAAATTTCTGAGACCTGAAATTAGTCTCAACTATTAACACATTTAAAGAACGTGTTAGTGGAAGTCCAGGCAACCCTCAACATTAATCACCCCACAGGTTTTCCAGTCACCGCCTCATCTCTCCCCATTCCACCCATCAGACAGCTGTCAGAATTAACTTCCTAGTTAGCAAATCTAAAAACATTATTCTTTTAATGACTATTGTCTAAACTCTGAAGTTCTCAGCATTAAAATCTCTTTGACCTTGCCCTTCCTGCATTCTCCAACCCCATCTTTTACTTTGTCCTTTTTGAACTCTGCATTCAGGCTACATCAAACCACTTGCCCTTTTCCAGTGCATGTTGTACATAGTTCCTCCTTCTGTGGAAGCTGTCACTTACCCTACAGGTTATCTTAGTGATGCAGGCTTATCTTGCAAGACTGAGTTCAGTGTCATAAACTCTAAGGAATCATTTCCGAATATCTGAGTAGATCTGACCTCTTTCCTTTATGTCATCCCTGCGTATACTTTGATCATAGCATCTTTAATAGTTAATTGTACTGTGTTTATGACTTCAAGGTTCATGAAGATGGGCACGTATTTTTATTCATATGTCACATCAATGGTAGGTACTAAAGAGAGCACTCAATAAAAATGCGTTGAATAGGGGCACCTGGGTGGCTCAGTGGGTTAAAGCCTCTGCCTTCGGCTCAGGTCATGATCTCAGGGTCCTGGGATCGAGCCCCACATCGGGCTTTCTGCTCAGCGGGGAGCCTGCTTCCTCCTCTCTGCCTGCCTCTCTGCCTACTTGTGATCTGTCTGTCAAATAAATAAATAAAATCTTTAAAAAAATGTGTTGAATAAAGTGATCTAGAACAAATATCCAGATTCTTAGTTCTACTCTTGACTACTTGTCCTTTTCTGATACATCCCCCAAAGGACCCTCACTGGCACATTTTTGTCATGCACTGTGCCTCAGCCTTTCTTTCTGATCTGCTCTTTTCCCTTTCATCTTTTTCTTTAAAAATTCTTGGCTAATTTAATAGGAAACTCCAATAACTTCTCTTGGTTGATTCTCCCTCCTGTTTCTTCCTTATCCAAAATTGAAAGATCCATTTAGTTTCTGGTTACATCCATTTTTCTTCAACTATAATACCCTAGTTATAATTCTTTGAACCTTAAGAGGGAATGTGATTTCTATACACATTCACATATATGAGCAACATTTGCCAAGCATAAATCTGTATCCTGCCATATAGTTATAATTTCACTTTATTTTAATTTGAAGTTTTTGGAAGATTCAGAACATGTTCTGATCTGGAATGGCAAACTGTGTGCTAAGGGAAACCATCAAGGTGGGTATCCTAGGGATCTCAAGCATAGACAGTCAGGGATCCTGGTTCGGAACTGCAATTTAAGAAGAACATGGTTATTCAGTGTTTATTACTAGAATGTCTGAAAAGTCAACATGTACACATAGAGCTAGTCCCCTAGCCCAGGATGCCTGGGTTCACCACTCCTTTGTTTTGCCACTCAGCCCTGTGACCTCTAGCAGGTTACTTCAGCTCTGTGTGCCTACATTCCAGTAAAATTGAGATCATGCTAGAAATAGAGTGCCCCTCAGTGAGAATTAATACAGTACTTTGGACAATGCACCAATATAGTAAGTGAAATGTAATGCTTAGCTGTTTTTATCTGGTCACTTTATCAGAATCTACAAAACATCTCATCAAAACCTTTATTATGCCGTCCTATTTTTGCTCAATGTTCTGTAACACATTTTACATATTTTCACTTTTGTGCCCCGCTTCCTGACGAGAAACTGCAGTAACAACAAAATCCGACCTCTCTACACCAGCTATTTTCTGCTCCCCATGCCATCCCAGTTCAGAATTAACCCAGAAAATAAAGAATAGAAAGAAGCAGCCTCGTTTGTTGTTACAAACTGAGTAACACGCAGCCTAATTCAGTTTAACTGGATCCAGATGCTGTCTCGGGCAGCGAGGTAGGGAAGGAAGGGGAAGGCGATGCGGCAACAGGGTACCGCCCGGCCAGAGGAAGCCACACCCGACGCCAGCTCTGCTGGGCACGGGCGACTGCGATCATAACTCTGAGCCAGAGGCCCTGGCACCCAGAGTCGGGGGCAGCGCCGGAAGTGCGGGGGCGGGGAAAGGAGGCAAAAATCGGGAACCCCTGGCGGGCGGCCTATCAGAAGCCACGGTCCCAGCGGGGTGGGCGGAAGAGAAGAGATGTAGTTCCGGACGCTGCCGCGCCGCCATCTGTCACCTTAGCTCCGGCACCAGCAGCTCATCGTCCCAGCCCCGCCGCCTGTCTCCTCGGCGGAGGCTGCTTCCCGGTCCTGCCACCTGTCTGCCCTATTTTCGTCGCTGTCTTCTTTTCCAACATGGATCTGGTCGGAGTGGCATCGCCTGAGCCCGGGCCCGCAGCGCCCTGGGGACCCAGCAAGGTGAGTGATGGTCGGAGCTGACGCACCTGTCTTGATCACCCGGGTTGGTCCTCCCGGAAAGCCCGGAGAAGGTGGCAGGCGCCGAGGCGTCTTCGCAGGCGACTTGGGGAAGTTCTGAGCGGGACTTTGGCGACCTCGGAAGGTGGGGACAGGTGGCGGGGTTGCCGGGGTGGGATGGGAAAGGTGGGGAGGGCGGCCGGAGCTGCCAGTGGCCACTCTTGGCGGGTTGGGCTCTCTGCGCCTTGATTTCTGAACCTCCGTAGCAGATATTTGGGCAGGGCTGGCTTAGAGACGCTGACGTTTAAGGGATATCAAGCACGATCCTGTTTTTCACTGGCCAAGTGAGTCAGCCGAATGGAGCCCGACGGGAAGGTCGTTTTGGCAGCTGTTTCCTTAACTTGACAAATGCAGTTATCCGAATGAGGCAGTTTCTTGTTTTTGAAACAGTAAAAGGTAAGTCTAGGCGCTCTTTTCTCCCCCCAGGCTAATACTCGGGGATACGCTACATATTGTGAAAAAACGGTTATGAATTCTCATTATCTGCTTGGCTTTAACGTTTAAGCTTTTTCCTATAAAGGAAAAAAATTTTTTCCTATAATGACCAACTGTTAGGTTTATTTTACATTTGGTTTCTGGTTTTCAGACTGCTCCTTTGCATGATACTTTCATTAGAAGGATGAAAAGACTTCTGCCGCTGTAGTGAGGGTTTGCTTGAAAGCCAGAGTGCTTCAAGTGGGATGTTGTGTTCCTCAAATTAAGGTTGGAAAGAATCCAGCTTTTATGACTTTCTAATTGTTTTTCACGTGGTGTCACGGAACATTTGTTCCGTTTAAAGGATCATTCATTTTATTAGATCTTTAAGCTAGGCCTTAACAGAGAAGAGAGAAATATTTGACTATTAAAAAGGAATTTATGAAAGTTTCATTAAAGTTAATTTTATGAAAGTTTTCATACAACTGTAGGGAGAACTTAAGATAATCCGTTGGCAAATATGGTTATGTCTCCATGTTATTTTGTGTTATTTCTTCTATTAAGCCTTGTTTACAAGGCCAAGATCAGTAGACATAAAAAGACAAAGTCAGTAGCCAGATATTAATAAATGTATGCTTTACATGTTAAATTCCTCCAGTTAAGCACCTCAAAGGCTGGTAAAAATGTCAAATGAGGCAAACATTGGTGAGGATACCTAATGTCAGAACAAATTTCACTTACAAAGCTAATTCAGTAATAAAATGCTTGTTATTAGTCATATTTTCATTTAAGTATGCATCATCAGAAATGGAAAATGGCATTTTCATCATTCAGCAACAACAACAACAAATACTGGGGTTTATTGATGTTCTACTGGGAAGACAGCATTTTCACAGTCCAGACAATTAGATGCTACAAGTATCTCTTAATACTTTCCTCCTCTAACCTCTTGGAAGACCTAAGTGTTTATCAGAGGCTTCATGGATGAGGTGATTTGAAGAGGACCTTGAAAAATGGAAAGAATGTTAAAGTCCAGCGATTCTTAAAACGTTTTGGTCAGGACTATTTTACATTCTAAAAAAAATCATTGAGGACCTCAAATTGTTTATATTGGTTACATATATTGCTATTTGTCATATCAGAAACTAAAACTGAGCTATTGAAACATTTTTATTTAAGTGATTTAAAAGTCATTATGTGTTAATATAAATAACATTTTTATATGTTAAACGCCCCCCCATTTTCCAGAATAAAAAAAATTAGTGGTGCAGTTTTGTATTTTTGCAACTCTAACGTCTGATTTCTTTTAAGATTTACTTTTTTTTTTTTTTTTAATAAACATATAAAGTATTTTTAGCCCCAGAGGTACAGGTCGGTGAATCGCCAGGTCTACACACTTCACAGCACTCACCATAGCACATACCCTCCCCAATGTCCATAACCCCACTACCCTCTCCCAACCAAGATTTACTTTTTTTGAGAGAGATGAGAGAGAGAGAGCGAGTGCACTCGCACACAGGAGCGCGTATGAGCTGGGGGAGGGAGAGAGTAGGAGGGAGAAACAAGCTTGGGGATCCATCCCAGGACCCCAGGATCATGACCTGAACCAAAGGCAAACACTTAACTCACTGAGCCACCCAGATGCCCCTAATGTCTGATTTAATAGAAGACCTTTTTTCAGCCTGTTGTGGTATGTTTTATTTGAAGTATATGAAGAAAATCGATCCTCATGGATGCATAGATTATAGCAGATATATTCAAAGATGGCTAATAAAAGCATGGTAGATGTACTGAGAACAAACTGAACTAATCTCTAAGAATGCACATTTATACCCTAAACCTACTACCTTAGAAAATTTTGGAAAACGTGAGAATATTCAAATACACATTCCACAAGCCATCAGAGTGCTGTTATCAGATCTGTTGTAGACTGGAAAACTCCACTCTACACTCTTAAGAGAGTAAGACTGGAAAAGACAGAGAATGTCTTAGTACAAAATAATTTTGATTTCACAGACACCCTGAAAGGGTTTTGGGGACCCCTCCCCAGAGTCATGGGGTACCAGTTATAAAATGCCAAATTGCTATTATGGACAAAGAATTTTAGTGGATATTCCAAGAATGGAGGATTGACAAACTATGGAAGTGAGGAAATGTGTAGCTCTTTTGGCAAGAGAACTGTAAAAAAATGAATTCATAGTACTCCTCAAAACTGTCAAGGTCATCACAAAAAAAGTCTGAGAAACTCACAGCCAGAAGGGGCCTAAAGTGGCATGATGACTACAAGTTATATGGAGTGCTGGATACATATGATCCAGAAGTAGGGAAAGGACATTGCAGAAAAACTAAGGAAATCTGAATAAAGTATGGACTTCGGTTAATAAGAATAATGTATAAATACTGGTTCATTAATTATGGCAAATGTACAATACCAACACAGGGGAAACTGGGTATGAGATATTTGGGAACTCTGTTACTTTTGCAATTTTTTTTTATAATTCTAAAACCAACATTAAAAGTTAAAAAAAAAATTAGTGTTGTATAGACCCAGATGATGTTTTGCAGAGACCCTTGTCTTAAGAAGTAAAATTACGTGCTTAAATATTCTACCCAAATTATATCTTTTAGTTGCGTGGGCAGAAAAGAGACCTTCCTGTGGGTTGTGATTCTCTTGACTTGCTTCAAGTTGAGGACTGAATTTTTATTATTTTGTACCTCCTTCATATTTACTGTTTTTTACTTACTTGATTCTTCCCCACAGTTGTTTGCACAATGACTAGCTAGAGGTGCATCTTTAGGAAATACAAGGAAAGGGAGATAATATCCCTCTAATCTGTAGCCAGCCTGGTGTTGAAGAATGTGGTAGTAGTAAAGAACTCCAAGGAGCAGAGTTCAGTGGTGGATTTTCCAGAGGAGAGGAAAAGAAGTCCGGTCTCAGAAGCCTTCAGCAAACAGGGAAGAAACAATCAGGGAGCTGGCTATGGGCTTGATAGACTTCATTTAAAGCAGAATAACTAACTGGGAAGGATTGTGTTGGGTTTCCCATCAGATCTTGATGACGTGGGGAGTTTATGCTGATGAAGGGAATAGTGGGGAATGACACTGGATAGTGAAGATTATGGAGGACTTTTTTCCCTATCTCCTTAAATTTATTATTATTGTTTTAACATTTAACAAAGAGTGTTTTTGGTTTATTGAGAAGTTACATGATGATGACAGAGGATTCCTCTATATATATCCTCTGGTGCCCATTCATAGGAGGAGCTCCCAGTAAATCTTCTAAGGCCCCCTTGAGATGGTAAACCACTAATGCCCATAGAGGATTGCCCCCTGTCTGGCAGCTGTCTCTCATGCGGCCCAAAAATTTTTATGGAGGGCCTTTGACTGCTATTTTGAGGAATTTATATTTGACATAGAAGCTTGGAAGTTGGCAGCCTTTGTTACCTTATTTACCTTTACCCATGCAAGTTGCCCTGGTGTGAGTCGGCCCAACTAAGCTGGTCAGCAGAGGTACAAGGTACAGCTCTGGAGTACAAGGCTCCAAGGAGCAAGATCCGTAGGAGCGGATGATTAGGATGTCTTGGAGCTCTCTGGTGGTCTCTATGTGTTTCCCTTTCTGGCTCAGTCTGTCTTGGATGTAGGTCAGTCTCTGCCTCAAAAGAATAGTCACTGCTTGTCAATTTTGCCTCTTCTGAGAAGTTGTCAGCTAATACTTTATTTAACATCTTAGTAAAATTGACTGCTGGCAAACAACTAGAAGCAGCATAAGTGGCTGGCCAAAGGGGCCGACTTCAAGATAGAGAAAGGGGTGTTAGAATAGTAGGGGTGTAGAAAGCCAGCAGACCTCTGCAGCCTGGGGACAGCCTGGCAGTTCCGCGAACTATTTCCGGTATTTCTTTTTAGCACGTGTTATTCAGTGCCTCTTTATGTCTGAAGCTCTATACTGGGTTCTGAGAATGAGAAGACCTGGCCCTTCAAGGGGCTCATGTTGTATTGTAGCTGGTACATTAACTCTAATAGAGTCACTGGTCCCGCATGTAAATATATTTGCACAGTGCTATGGGAGCACAAAGGCAAGGATCTGATTTCGTCTGATGAAATTGAGAGAGCCTTGGGGAATTGGCAATGCTTAATTGGAGGAAATAGAGGAGGAAGAAAATCCACTGAGAGAAAAGCATGTGTGAAGGCATGGAGGGGTGAAAGCATGCCACAATTAGCATATAATTTTTGTTATTAGAGCATAGGTTATGTATGGGCTGAGACTAGAAAGATAAAGTAGGGCAAATTGTGAAAGGCATTCATTGTTGAAGAATTTGGATTTCATACTGCAGGCAGTGTAAAGGTTTGCTTCTCACATTCCAGGACAAGATGATTAGGGAAGAAGTAATAGCAAAATGCTGAGGGCAGTCCCTTAAGTTCTACTGCCTTGGTTCAAATCTAGGCACTACCATCTACAGTGTTGTCTTGAGTTAAAAAACCTCTCAGTGTCTCAGTTTCTAAGTCTATAAAATGAGGATGATATTGTACCTATGCAGTGGTTACGGGTCTCAAATCTATGTAAATTATCTATATTGGGCAAATGATTAAAATACAGTGACCCAGTATTGTCTGTTACTCTCTTGTCATTGCAAAATGTGGTTGACATATCTGAGTTAGAGAATACAGCCATTTGCCTTTTGGAACCTGGACTTTGAAACTGATCAGACCAGACATTTTTAGGCAATGGGTTAGCATTATGTATTCTCTCTGGAGGATTCAGAGGGAAATCAGCAGAAGTCATTGGCCAAGGGATAGCTGTAGTCTCCAGATTACGAACTTCAGGCTTCTAGACCTCAAAATCCTCATCAGGAGAGTATTCAGTTGCACTTGAAGATCTAAGTGAATGAAAGTCATACCAGACCTTGAGAAAGCCTGCCTTGTTTTCTCCACATCTGGCTTTCTGTGAGGCTTGAATAATTGTGCAGTAGGCTAGTATAGGTATGTACTGGGGGCTGGGTCCATTTCATTAATCTCAGGATGAGACTAGATAAAACTTGATTCTGATTCACTTAGGCATAAGTATAGTTATCATTTATCACCCTTCAGAGCTTCATCCTAACAACCTGAACCAAATAAATTCCTGAGCCTCAGTGCTGTGTAACCTGAGCAAGGGTGGTAGGCCAGCTAGAGGATCTAAACTTGACTTAAAAGTTTTGTGGCTAAAACTTTTAGCCATCATATGCTATATTCTAGATTCTAAATTAGACACTCAGCAGTAGTTAAGGAATGAGTTTGAACTTTATCCTAAAGTAGGTGGGAAACATTGAAACAAGAGCTGTAGGTAAGGAAATTGAACTAATCAAATCTGCATTTTAGAAAAGCTCTTGTGCTATGGTGTTGAAAATGGAAACAAGCAGAACTAGAAACAGAAAGATTAGTTAGGACTCTCTTACTAGAGTAGCCCAGTGATAGGAGGGTGATACCTTGGGGTAGAATCTTAGGAGGGAGAGAGAGAAAGCTGGGTCAGTTCAAGAGAGATTGAGACATACTATTCAATATTAGTGGTCTTAATCACTAAACTAGCAAATGTAGTCATTTGCTGCTGCTGCTGCTAAGTAAAGTTGGCCCTCTCAAAAATTAGGAATTGTGAAATTTACGGTTTGTATTTCAAGAGGGCCGAGATCATGTTGTCATTGAGGAAGGCCAACTGGCCAATCATCTAAGGAGCGTCTCACAGAATATTGCTTTGTTATAGTGGTATTGTTTCAAGACTGTTTCTCAGCTTCTAAAGTTCAGAAATACAGTTTTTGTTGTCATTGTTATTTTTGTTTTAACATATCCCGGATGTCTTGAGAGTGGCTGACATATACTGTACACGTATAGAAGACTTACTCCTTAAATTAGAATGAGGTGTAAATTCTAAGTGCGTTTTGAATTGTGCTAGTTGGTGTAATCTGTTCCTAAGAGAGAACCTACAGGGGCATCTGTCGGTAGGGCTTGCAACTGGCTCTGTCCGTAGAGCATGCAACTCTTGGTCTCAGGGTGTGAGTTCCAGACCCACGTTGGGTAGAGAGATTACTTAGAAATAAAGCATTTGAAAAAAGAAAAAGAGAGAATCTACATGGGAAGCCAGATTAAGAGCAGATTATTTTGTGAGCACGGAATCAGAACAAGGGTGGTGCATGAACTCATCAGGCAGTGGGGTGATGCTGTATATGCAGGAGCCTGATGTTCCTCCTCAACTAAGAGACACACCTATCAAACGGGTTATCTAACAGGTTATCAAACGGGCTAGAAAGTGCTTTTGACAAATTTAGTGATTTAGTTTACATTTATCTTTGATTAGATGTGAGCTGGGAGATGTTTTTTTACTTTTTTTTTATTTAGAGAATTATTTTATTTATTAGAGAGAGCACAAGAGCACCTGTGTGAGCCGGGGCATGGGGGTGGGCGGAAGGAGAGGGAGAGAAATCTCAAGCAGACTCCCCTGCTGAGCATGATGTGGGGCTCAGTCCCATGACCCTGAGATCACAACTCGAGCCGAAATCCAGAGTCAGATGCTTAACTGACTGAGCTACCCAGGTGCCCCAGTATTTTTACTTTTCAGATAATTTCTCTAAGTTGATAATTATTTATTTGGGGTTGATTTTTTTAATTTTCAAAAGATAGCCTGTTTTCAAGTTTGGAAGGTACTTTAATTTCACAATTATGAATTAACCCCTCCCTTTTCTTTAAATAGTGTCCCTGGGCTACCCCTCAGAACACAATATCTTGTTCCTTGGCTGATGTGATGAGTGAACAGCTGGCTAAAGAACTGCAGTTAGAAGAGGAAGCTGCCGCTTTTCCTGAAGTTGCGTAAGTAAAATTCATGAAGAATCTAACAGCATTTTATGAAAGTTTTAGGATTTGATTAGCGATTGTCCTGGCCGGTGATTAAGAAACACATTTTGGGAAACAATGCAGTAGAAAGAGCGCTATACTGGGAGCGCACTGATATTTGAGTTTTGGTCCTGATTCTGTGATTAGTTGTCAGTACTGTCTTGGGCAGACCACTCTGTTCCTCTGGGTTTTAGTCACTACAACAGTTGCACCACATGATCCCCAAATTAGCAAATAGTGAAGTAGGTTACAGTTTTGAGCAATTGTTTATATTTTATCTTTTCATCCATGTTATCTTTCCAGAACATACAACAAATGAGGTTGAGTCTTAGTTTAGATTAGAGACCCTTTAGCTTTCTCTTGCAGCTCTCTTAATCCTAGTTGGTGCCTGACATTAGTCAGAGAGCAGCTGGACAGAAGGTAAATGACACGATCAGGTTTTTCCCATTGCTTCTTCAGCATAATTTGTAACAGTGAAAAGGCACTCCTCTCTCATGATAGGTAGCATCTGTTTATACAAGCACATAATTTTGGTTCATGTTGCCTTATTTTGAATAGTGTCACTGAAGGACCATTTATTACTGGAGAAAACATTGACACTTCCAGTGACCTAATGCTGGCTCAGATGCTACAGATGGAATTTGACAGAGAATATGACGCACAGCTTAGGCGTGAAGAAAAAAAATTCAATGGAGATAGCAAAGGTACTATGACCTTATTATGACACCTCCACTGGGTGGCAGGAAATGCTTGTAACGTGCTCCTAAATAAATCTTCACCTATCTTTGCCTTTTAAGTTTCCATTTCCTTTGAAAATTATCGCAAAGTGCATCCTTATGAAGATAGTGATAGCTCTGAGGATGAGGTTGACTGGCAAGACACTCGTGACGATCCCTACATACCAGGTATCAGTGCTTTTATTTTCTGGGGTTTGGGGTAGGACAGGGACAGAGGAAGACTAAGTTTTCCAATGGATCCGTGTATTTTATATTTATCTTTGAATCTCGCTTGATAATTTACTGTTAGATTCAGATGTCTTTTCAGACAATATTGAATGCAGCAGTTTAGTCTTTGCTACTTTTACATTAACTTGTCTTGTCTTCATTGCCTTTAGCAAAACCAGTTCCTACTCCCAAAAAGGGTTTTATTGGAAAAGGAAAAGACATCACCACCAAACATGATGAAGTAGTATGTGGGAGAAAGAATACAGCCAGAATGGAGAATGTAAGATACAGGATGTATTATCTCCGAATCAAGAGTTTTATTGATATAAGTTAAAAACATGGGATTCTAAATATAATATTACCAACTCTACTTCTGTTAAAAAAAAAAAAGTTTAAATTAATTAACTAATTAAAAAAATAAATACAATATCTTAAATGTCTAAAAATACCCTTCATAAGGATAGATCTAAAGTTCTTGTAGATGATAATATAACAATACCATGAAAACTCAGCCACTAATGAGAATGTACTTCAGAATAAAATTCTACAACAATATTAAGATTTTATTTGGTTTGATTGGTTTGATTTGCATGGATTCTAAAAATTAAATTGTTCTTATGAAAGGTAGAGTATTTATTTTTCAGCATATTACTTTCTTGGGTAGCACCCCTACCCAAGAAACAGATCAGTGGTGACTAGGGGATAGGAATGGGAGAGAGAAGTACTTTCTACTATATACCTTTTTATATTTGTTGAATTTTTTAATTCAACAAATTCAAATCTTGCACCTTACCTACCCCTGCAAAATCAGAAATAAAATGTAATTTTAAAAAATTTTAAAAAAAGAAAAATTAGGATTCTTCTCCTTTATAAAGCTTGTAGTTAATAGAAAACATTTAGACTTTAGAACACAAATACTTGTTAAGTAAACTTATTTATTTATTTATTTATTTTTTTAATGCTTTATTTTTTAAAGCAGTCTCTACACTCATTGTGGGGCTTGAACTCGTGACCCCAAGATCAAGAGTCATGTGCTCCACTGACTAAGCCAGCCAGGTGCCCTGTAAACTTATTATTAAATTCTAGAAGTAGTCCAGATCTGACTCTAGAACAATCCTCTCCAGTAGAACTTTGTGTGATAATAGAAATGTTCTATATCCATGTTAACTAATAATGACCATATTTGGCAATTGAGCCCTTGAAATTTGAATGATGCCATCAGGGAGCTGAATTTTTAATTTAATTTTAATTTATTTAACTTGAAATATCTACATGTGGCTAGTGTCTACCATATTGGACAGTCAACTCTAGAACATAATTGTCACGGTGTGGGCATAGCTTGTTACATTATTCCACTCCTCAAAAATAATTATAAAATTGTATTTCTTTGGTAAGATTTGGGGTAGTCTTCAAAATATAATGTGTCCTTTGTCTAATGTAAAAGCAAGGTGCAGAGCATATGCTGAAATACCTTAGTTTTTAGATGTGATTCAGTATTTTCTGTGCTTTTCTTAAATAGCCTCGCTTTTCTGTTTGTTTTTTTAGTGAATTATTTTATTTTTTTCTCTGTAATACCTATGGGTTCTGCTTTTGTAGCCTAATCATTGAGTAAAAAACCTGTTCCAAGTTAAGACTGATCTGGTTTTTGTTATTACCATCTCCATTTTAAAGTATTCAGATGCTAATTTTTTTTCTTCTTTTTGGCAGTTTGCACCTGAGTTTCAGGTAGGCGATGGGATCGGAATGGATTTAAAACTATCAAACCACGTCTTCAATGCTTTAAAACAACATGCCTACTCAGAAGAACGTCGAAGTGCCCGCCTCCATGAGAAAAAGGAGCATTCTACTGCAGTAAGTATTCTTACATTTTTTTCTTTGATGGAAAGTTCATATTAGAAAACTTCATATTTGGGCAAAAAACAAAACTTGATGTCAAAACTGACATTTTAGTGGTCATAATTAATATGAATATGAATGTTTTAAGATTTTAAAAAATCATTTCTTGTTACATTACGACATTTATAATAACTTAATTTCTAATGTCTTATGTTAGTAAAGATAGTATCTAATATCTTGAGAATAAAGTAATTTTTTAAACTTTAAGAAAAAAATCTAATAGTAAGTACAGTAGCAAAGCTATTTAAAATTTGAAGATAAAATAAGATTTTGACTAAGAGCCTGATTTTTAATAGTTCTTTTAGATATTCACTTTCATAGGCATTGGAGTTAGTTATAGAAATGAAATCTATTTTGACAGCACTCTTTTAAGAGCCTGTTATATATACATTTAGGTAAATTAAATGATAAAGGTAAAAGGTATATATTTTGAATATACTAGATACTAGAAATGGCTCAAAAATTTTTTTGTTATTTATAGTGCTTTATCTTTTGCAGGAAAAAGCAGTTGATCCTAAAACACGTTTACTTATGTATAAAATGGTCAACTCTGGAATGTTGGAGACAATCACTGGCTGTATTAGTACAGGAAAGGAATCTGTTGTCTTTCATGCATATGGCGGGAGGTAAATGAGCAAAATGCAATACCATTGTGTCAATAATATCTTAACCCCTTCTCCCCATATAAATGGATTTATGCAGAATCAGTGCTACCTGGCAAGCAGAGTAATTTAAAAAGTGTTGGAGAAAGTCTAGACCATATACGGACATATGAATAAAAACAATCATCCTAATCTCACCATCCAGAGATAACGATTAATCAATTTGTGTAGACTCCTTCAGTCTTTTTTCTGTGCATATATTATTTTCTACATTATTGTAATCCTGTATCATACAGGCTGCTGTGACAGAGCAAAATTTGCAGTTGGGTTTGTCTCAAAACCCATGGTCTTTACACTGTGGGGTCCTTTAGCATGAGGTTGAGGGGGATATGCTTAGATCAGTTACTGATTCTTGTCCTTGTAATTGATCCTTTAAAAAGTACCAACTAAATAATGCTTGCATCATTTATGGAGCATCTTGTAAAGATCTTACGCTATTTAGATCTTACCTGCTTCATTTTTTTAAAGAGGAGCCTGTTTAGAGAATATGCTTAAGCCAGGAATGTGAAATCATCCGGTCATTTGCTATTGAGGTCAGCCAGCAAGGCTTACTACCTCAGAGATTCCTTTACCTCAATGTTTACAGACAAAAATGTTAAAGTAGATTCCAGAATTATTCTAGCTCTTTTTAGGTTCAGAAGGTATTTACTGTATACTTAAGGGGATTCAGACAATTATTGGTTAAGTTCTTGCCTTTGGTTTTCTTTCTTTTTTTTTTTTTGCCTTTGGTTTTCTTAATTATTTAGTCTCCCTTTCTAAAGCTTTTTTTTTTTTTTTTTTTAAGATTTTATTTATTTATTTGAGGGAGAGAATGAGAGAAAGCAAACATGAGAGGGGGAAGGTCAGAGGGAGAAGCAGACCCCCTGCCAAGCAGGCCCTGATGCAGTACTCAATCCCGGGACTCCAGGATCATGACCTGAGCTGAAGGCAGTCACTCAAACAACTGAGCCACCCAGGCACCGTAGTCTCCCTTTCTAGATGAGACATACATGTGTAAACATATACCGAATTAGACTGTTAAGTTTCGAAATGAAAAGGATAAAAATGAATGTTAGTATAAAATAGATCAACATTTTTCAAGTTGTGTCATCTGGAGTAATTTACTAAATTAAACCTTTTTAAAAAACTGACCCTTATTACCTCATAGGATTTTGTGGTGATAAATGAGATCATATTTGATGACTGGTATATGGAAATTTTAATAAATATTTATTTTTTCCCTTTAAGCTTTAACCTTTTTCCCTTTAACCTTTAAACTCTTCCCAAATTTCTTTTAAGGGTTCCCTAAGACCAGGCAAATATAACTCAGTGGCACAAATTAAAATGAGAGATTACTCATGGTAGAAATTAAAACTCTACAGAGGGGATTAAAATGGAAAGTAGCCTTTTTATCAACTCTCATCTCACAGATCTTTTCTTCAAAAATAACCACTGTTAACAGTTTTTAGTTTAGTCTCCCCGGGAATTTTTATGCACATATCCCTAAATTTGTTTATACAAAAGAGATGATACTCTCTGTTCAGCATCTTGGTTTTTCAGTTAATATATCTTTCCAAGCTTACAGCATCCCATTTTTATAGTAGCATAGTCTGTTATGTTAATGGGCTTATGGCATAGCCAGGAGGAGAACATTATAGCAATAACTGTTATGGTAATAAAAGATAATTACATAATAGAGTATGCAGCTAAGAATATCCTTGTACATCTACTTTGGTGTGCTTTTGCAAATATACCCTTAAGCTGAATTCTAGCTTTGAAATTACTGGGGCACAGACTGTATGTACTCTTTTTCCTTTTTGTTAAATAGTAGAAGGCCTCAGTGAATGGAGAGTACCAGCTGGCTGTTGTAACAAGCAGCATATCTTGTTTTCTTTTATTTATTAAAAATTTGAAAAAAATTTCTTATGTGTCACACCAATGCTCAAAATCTTTAATTTGTGTTTATCTTTTAATTACAATGGTAGGGCAAATGCAATTTCTCTAGGAGCTAGTCAGATCTCCAGGTTGTTGTGCATTCTATAAATGTCAGTAGATACTGACAGATTGCCCTGTGAGATCTAATTTATGCAGCAGTATGAACCTGTTTCCCTCATCCTCATTAATACTTATTAGTATTATCAAACTTAATTTTTTTTTTGTCAGTGTAAAAGATGAAAAATACCATTTTGATATTTTGGTATGTATTTATTTGTGATTAAGGTTGTACATTTTTTCCAAGCGCTTTATTGGCCATTTGTATTCCTTTTTCTTGTCAACTGCCTTGTTTATCCTTTGTCTATTTCCTGTTATGCTTAATGTTACTTTGATATAGTGAATGATCTCTCTTTCTGGTGGAATTGGTATTGTAATCCATACTTGGACATTTGTAATTTAGCAAAACTGGAGAGCACTCGGTTTTCTACAAGTTTTTTTAAAGTAAATACTTTTAAAAACTTTGCTAGTTTTCTATGCTATATAACAAATTACCACAGACTTAGCAGCTTAAAACAACACTCATTTATTATCTCACAGTTTCTCTTGATTGGAAGTTCTAGTGGGCACGGCTTAGCATGGTTCTGCTCAGGGTCATACGGCTATAGTCTGGGTGTCGTCTGGGTTGCATTCCTTATGGAACTGTCTCTGCTTTCTTGTTGGCTGTCAGGTGGGGCCTGCTCTCAACTTCTAGAGGTCCCTGCAGGTGTTGATCATGCTGTCCTTTCACACAACAGGTCACTTCAAAACTGGCAGGAGACTCTCTCCCTCCAGTCTGCTAAGACTGAGTCTTAGACATTGGAATAGGATCAAGCCCCGCTTTGGGCTCCTTGCTCACCAGGGATCCTGCTTCTCCCTCTTCCCACCTTCTCATGCTCTTTCTTGCTATCTTTCTCTCTCAAATACAAATTTTAAAAAGTAAATAAGTAAAACCATAGGGCGAAATGAAATTTCCCAGCTAGAGAAGACGGAATAGGTTGGAATACTCCAACCTTCTGAGATGAACTGGCAGAAAGGGAAAATATGGTACAGAAGGAAGGGGTTGGGAGTTTGAGTCATATTTTGTCTTCTGGAAATAGAGTTCTTTTCTTTGCCAGACTAACATTCTTTCACATATTTAAAGGTAAATACTTGTTCACACTCTCACCACCATGTTTCAGGCCTTTTCAGGGGCTCACTATTGAGAGAGCATTACATTAGCATCCCAAGTTCGCCCCACACCTCTGAGCTCTTCTGCCCCCTTCTATCCTGATACTATCATTGACTTGATCCTCGTGCTTTGTGTCAAGCCCATGGTGATTCCTACCACATTTAGGAATACATTGAGGCTTCTCTTCACGGATCTGCCTCCGTCCTGTCCCTCAGCTCTGATTTCTTTCATTTCCCCTTTCCAGCTAAGTCTTAACTATAGTGTTTGTTATTCCTCAGACGTGTCCTGTAGTTTCCAACTCTGCTTTTGTTAACACTGTGCCTGTACTTGTTCATGGCCTACCCATTGTTCTGGTTCTGGTTCAGTTGCCACCTACATCATGAAGCCTTGTCTGGCCTTCCCAATCCAAAGGGACCTGTCCTATTCATGTACTTCTATTCTCTCCTGCCCCTCCTTGCATAAAGGGCGAGGACCCCTTTACTCACCTTTTTTTTTTTTTAAAGATTTTATTTATTTATTTGACAGAGAGAGAGAGATCACAAGTAAGCAGAGAGGCAGGTAGAGAGAGGGAGAAGCAGGCTCCCCGCCGAGCAGAGAGCCCGATGTGGGGCTCAATCCCAGGACCATGAGATCATGACCTGAGCCGAAGGCAGAGGCTTTAACCCACTGAGCCACCCAGGCACCCCTTTACTCACCTTTTTATCTGTTAGAAGTGAAAAAGACATTTAAAAAAGCTGTTCTATTTTTTGCTTTTATTGAATTTTGCCCATAAACCATCCCAGGTAGATTGTAGCCTATTTTAAAGTATGTGTGTCTTCATTGTTCCTCAGGTTTGATTTGATTGATAGTCATTAAGTGAAGATTATATATGGATTATTGAAAACTGGTTGACAATTTATTTGAAAGTATTTTATTTAAAAAACCAAATCCTAAGGTTTTATTAAGACCCAAAATTTAAATCTTAAAAAACCACTAAAGCTTGACATTCTTAGAGAAGATAGATCTACTTTTGTATCATAGAATTTTTATTTTAAAATTGTTTTACTTATAAGCTGGCAATTTATACTGACTTAATTTTCTTTCTTCCACTTAGCATGGAGGATGAAAAGGAAGATAGTAAAGTTATACCTACAGAATGTGCCATCAAGGTATTTAAAACAACACTTAATGAGTTTAAGAATCGTGACAAATATATTAAAGATGATTTCAGGTTTAAAGATCGCTTCAGTAAACTAAATCCACGTAAGATCATCCGCATGTGGGCAGAAAAAGAAATGCACAATCTCACAAGGTAAAGAAAATCATTGTGCTAGAAGTTATCTAGGGTTAAAAAAAAAAAAAAAAAACGAAGTAATTATCTAGGGTAATTACCTTCTTGTATCTGGCCTACTAGCCAGGCAGAAAAATACATGCTTCTTTTTAAATTCATTTGTGGAAATTATGGAAGGCCTCGAAATTCTAGTTTAATGAGGCTTTCTATAAGAAAATATTTCCTGGGTATAACGTGAATTTATACCTTTAGGATGAATAAGTCATTTTCTTTTTTCTTCCCTCAGTAAAGTCTGAGGGTAGCAAAGTCATTTTCTGCCAGAGACATTTTGTCATATGTCTACATGCTGTCATTGTTCAGCTTCCTGTTAGGCTTATTGTAAATTATGATTTGCTTTTTTTGTTTTAGAAAATGTTTATTGCATCTTGTGTTGTTAATTTGGTGGGGCAGTCTGACCAGTCAAATTGCATTTTGCTCTAATTCATTAGACTAGGTTCTCAATTCTCTAAGCAGAATTTATCAAGGAATTTATCAACCAAGTAATACAATATTAATCTTTCTCAGTAAACCTTCTATATCTTAATCTATTAAATGCTTAATTTTTGTTTGTTCTAAAGATGTTTGCTTTCAAATGTAATTATCCATATTTATTAGTTGCAAAATTCTTCTAATTAGTAGGACTTATAAGTAGAATAGTTTCCTAAGAGGTCTTGCTACCCTTCAATCTCTTTTCTGTGCTTTTGAGATCTCATCCCTGCCTTTCTTAAAATTCTTCAACAGCTTCTACAGTCTTTAGTGTGAAGTTCAAAGGCCTTCTCTGATGTGGAGCTCACCTGTCTCTAACCTCAACCCACACTGCCCTTCCTCCAATTTAAGATCCAGCTATGTTAACTGACATACATTCCCCAAATGGACACTCTTGAATGCCTCTGTGCATTTCACAGGCTGCTTCCAGCCCTAGACCAGCATTTCCCCACACTGTCTTAATATGGCTAATTCCTGTTCACCCACTTTTTATACTAAGCCTTCCTTGATGCTGTGTGCTCCTGTAGCTCCTGCCCACACCCCTGCAAGTGCGTGTGCCACACTGTGACTGTCTCCTCACCTGTCTGTGCCTACCAGCAGTCCATGGCTCTGTGAGGGCAGAGGCTGGGTTCTATCGGCTCTGCCTCCGCCACCCCCCCGGGCGGAACACGGTGCCAGCTCATAGCAGGCGCTTGTTAGCTATTTGTTGAATAAGTGAAATATTCTCTCCTTCTGATTTTTACGTTCTTAATTATTTCTTTCTGTGTAGAATGCAGAGAGCTGGAATTCCTTGTCCAACAGTTGTACTACTCAAGAAACACATTTTAGTTATGTCTTTTATTGGCCATGATCAAGTTCCAGCTCCTAAGTTGAAAGAAGTAAAGCTCAGTGGTGAAGAAATGAAAGAAGCCTACTACCAAACTCTTCATGTAAGTTGCTTTTTAAAGCATCCGCGTACCAACTTTTAAAAAATATGTTGTCTAAACCTTTAAAAAAAAGTCCTAAAATAGTACTATTTTAAGTTAATAAAACAAGGGCAAACTGAAGTTGTGACGGAATATTAACATTGAAGAGTTGTCTTTATATCAATGTGCTACTGTCCTGAGTCACTTAAGAAAAATCATAGAGCTAAGGAGCTCATGAGGCCTCATTGGTTAGCATTAGTGACGTGGAAGCATGAAGCTCTTATTCATGAAACAATCTGTTAAATAAAAATGGACATTTCCACATTTGGCAGATGTCCTGCCTCATTAGTTTGTATGCCTTATTGAATGTCCTAGCTCTTAACAGCTAAGAAAATGCCTTTCGTTGGGAAGTTGGCGGGGAGCAGATTTAGTCCCATTGTAAGACTGATGGTAAAAGCTGAAGATGGGAGGGAGTGGTCTCTTGTATGTGCACAGGTTTTAGAGCATGTCAGGAATCTTGAAGCCATTTATGCTTCAGGACAGCAACTGAATTGCATCTGAGGTCCTTCCAGCTTAAGAAAATGTTTCTAAAACTGTCCTCCTTCTGTAGTTTTGTTTTTGTTTTTTTTTGGGGGGGGTTGTTTAAGTAAACTGTACCCCCAACATGGGGCTTGAACTCATGAGCCCAAGAACAAGGGTTACACGGTCATCAAGTGAGCCAGCCAGGGCCCTGCCTCTCTAGTTGTTTTGATTGAATAGCAGAGAAGCCTCTGTACTTTTTACGTGGTCTCTGCATAAAGTGCTCACATCTTGCAGTAGCTTATATGAATATGAAAGTGTTATCCAAATAATTTTTGAATACCGTGCTAGGGAGGTAATCCAACTTTCTCTGCTTCCAATAGGAAAACATTGAAAGGAAAATCAAATTCATTTTTCTGGCTTCATTGGCTGGTGGGGTGACTGGGGAAGAGATGAAGTAGTGCTACACTTTTCCGATTTGAGTCTATTAAGGCTGAGAAATAAAACATTAATGCTGATTTCAGCCATAAGAAATCAATAATGAGTATATAATGCCACTTAATTTTTAAGACTGTCTTCCCCACTATGTTTGGCAGGAAGTACTTTTTACCTTATATGAAAAGATGAAAAAAATTTTTTCACCCACTTTTATTAAAGGAAAGTGGCTTTTAGATCCACTGGTGAGTCACCATAATATGGCTGCTTTCTTACTCTGTGGGGAACCAGGTCTGCCCTTCAGTCTCCTGACCTCACTGTGGTCACATAGACAAAGAAATAGAGTGTCATACTCATCCCCTCCATTGCCTCAGTGTTCCCCCACCCTACCTGAAAACAAAAAACAAAAAAGAGCTCAGTCTTAGACTGTACAAAGTAAAGAGGAAATACGTTCTTTAACCTTGTTTTGCTTTTTCTGAGAAGTATTGGTTGGCATAGACATTTCAGTTGCCTAGGTAAATTGGAATGGTTGCTCATGTCCTAAATGTCTGCCTTGCCTCCTCACAGTTGATGCAGCAGTTATACAATGAATGCACGCTTGTCCATGCCGACCTCAGTGAGTATAACATGCTGTGGCATGCCGGGAAGGTGAGGAGCACATTTTGTTAATGTTCATACAGAATGACTTGATGTAGATTACTGAATGTATACTGAACGTATGCTGTGTGTTTAAATAGGTCTGGTTGATTGACGTGAGTCAGTCTGTAGAACCAACCCATCCTCATGGCCTGGAGTTCCTGTTCCGTGACTGTAGGAATGTCTCCCAGGTGGGCATGTAAACTAATGCATCTTTTTTATAGGATATAACAGATTCAAATATTTTTCTCATCCCTAAGAAAAATAAGCTGGTCATATTCTTAGAAATTGAAGGAAGGGTTTGGTTATCAACTGCTTTTGAGATAAAGATACAGAGATCAATTTGTCAGATTTCATTTTCAACAATAATTTGATTGCATGCCTCACATTTGGGCTATTGAATTTAATTGACAAGGGAGTGAGTTTTTGGCTGCAGATATTTAAGCAGTCAAGTAGACATTTGATACATGCCCAGTGCTTCGAGTGAAGCTGGCATTAGCAAGCCTGTGTGCTCACTGCCATTGTTATTACCATTAAAAGGAAAATAGTCTTTTTTAGTGGTGCTGTGTCTGATCACTGATTTCTGTGAGGTAAACAGATGAGGAAAGGTGAAACACAATAATCACGGAATAGGGTCACATTTATTTGTTATTTCTAAATGAAATTAATTGTTTGCTATAGATTCAGATAAGAATGTTTTTTCTAAATGATCGAATAACTTCATATTGGAAATAATTTCTGAACCTACTTGAAGATTTTAATTCATGGGATTTAGTGAATATTTTGAGTATACATATTCAAAGCAATGCTACCCAGTTTTATAGATACCACTCATTTATAGCTATAGAAGGTGCGTTGTGAGAAATTAAATCCAGGAGGCAGCACAGATGTGGACATCTGAAGAGGACAAATAGCAAGTAGAACCTGAGCAGCATAGTTAAACTTGAAATGAGAAAATCTGTGGCTTAAAAATTATGGAAGGAATTCACTGGTATCTTATAAGTATACTATTCTCTGTTTTTTTTGTTTTCAAGAGAACCTTGCTATAATATCTCGTACTGACTTATATTTCTTTGCTAGTTTTTCCAGAAAGGTGGAGTAAAGGAAGCCCTTGGTGAACGAGAACTCTTTAATGCTGTTTCAGGCTTAAACATTTCAGCAGATAATGAGGCTGATTTCTTAGCTGAGGTAAATTTTATGTGTATTTTACTCACCTTGCTAATGGGGAGAGCTGGATGGAGTAGTTAGCTGAAACCCAGAGCTCATTTTATTCTTTTTTTTTTTTTTTTTAAGATTGGATTTTATTTATTTATTTATTTATTTATTTATTTATTTATTTTAGAGACGAGAGAAAGTGCAAGTGGTAGGGTGAGGCAGAGGGAGAGAGAGAGTCTCTAGCAGACTCCAACACCCAGCATAGAGCCTGACGCAGGGCTCGATCCCACAACCCTGAGATCATGCGTGACCTGAGCCAAAACCAAGAGTTGGACCCTTAACCAACTGAGCCACCCAGGCACCCCTCATTTTATTCTATCCCCTCAAAAGCAAAATTAGAGATTTTCTTTCCTTGAGATGTTTTTGGTCCTTTCCAGACTTAAAACCTAGGATAGACTTACAGCAAAACACTTCGTCAAGGAGTACAATTTGGTTAAGAGGGACAAATAACACCACTACCAGTGCACTCCTGTTGCCTGTGTTTATGAGTGAGGAATTGTGCTGGTGAACACTGGGTGATACAGGAAGCTATCACACACTCTCCACGCCTTTCACTGAACAGAGAAAGTTGGCCGTGGTCGTCCTTATAAATGCCCAGTCATTATAATATGGATCTACAGAACCATAAAAAAAAAAAAATCTTCCAACAGAAAAGTTCTCTTAAAATTGAACAAAAATGAAAAAGTGAAATAGCAGCTAGTTATTCACAATAGTATACCAAAGCAGAGAATGATCATAGAGTCTGTTCCAGAACTCCTCAGTATGATTTGAATTTGGCCAAGCTGTGGTGGAACCTAAGGGCAGAGAAGAAGTCACAGGAAGATGGTAAATCTGATCTCTAGCACAGTACAGTTGCTCCGTGAGTAAGTGTTACTACTGTTGTTGAACCAACATTAGAATCTGCTTTTTCTTGTTTCCTGAAAGCTTTATAGGTACATAGTAGGACATGGGATCCTAGTTGCTAGATCGATAAAGACACTAAATATTGACCTTGATAATACAGTCAAGTAAAAAACATGCACATATGCATCACCTGTAGTGCATGTCTGTGAGACACTGTAATGTGTGTCACACACTGTAATTCTAATTTCAGGCCAGTGTCCTTAGGATTGACCTAGTTTTAAGAGAGTAAAAATGCTGGTTCAGTCTAAAGTATGGTCTCTATGAACTATTTGACAAATGGATTCAATGTATTAATTTTGTAGATAGAAGCTTTGGAGAAAATGAACGAAGATCATGTTCAGAAGAATGGAAGGAAAGCTGCTTCATTTTTGAAAGATGATGGAGGTCCGCCAGTCCTATATGATGAATAGCACCAACAACCCACTGCTTTCATTGTTAACACAGTGGTGACTTCAGCTGCCAGTGGCAAGTGAAGTTGTGGGAGACTTGAAATACCAAAACAGAAGGAGTGTACAATGGTGCTTCTGTGCTTTTTTCCCCCTTGTAACCCATATGCCAGATGTGTGGAATTTGTAGCTCAGCGTGTGGAGAATAAAATGTCACTACCTCTCATCTTATGAACAGGATAATATAATTCTTTAACAGCTATAGGTTATCTACCTGAAATCAACCTGATTTTACAGAATTCGTGGTATAAATTGTTTTGATGAGAATTTTTAAAACTTAGGTAACATTTCCAAAATGGGAGGAAAGGACAGGTGTGTTTACAAGGAAGGCTTTTATTATAACATGGTTGCTTTTTTTCACCTCCCTGTTTTGTGTTACAGCTTTCCTCAAATATTTTATTGGCCTAAAATAAGCCCTTCTTAGTTTTGTTTTTTTTTTTTTTCATGTTGTGACCATGATTCTAAAGAAAAATCTCTTCTCTTCAGTAGGTGACATAAATGGAAATTTGGTTTTAAAATGACTGACAGAAATAGAAGTTTATTGGTAAATCATGAATGTGAACTGAATTTTTCTTTTCCATACTCCTATCCAAGACAGGGCATCACAGATCTTTGAAAGAGAAAAATATATAAGAACTTCTTAACTATTCAAAGTTTTTAAATTTAACTTTCAGGTTTTCAACATTTAGGTGAAATGGTTAGGATAGAACTCCTGGTGCAGCTGCATTTATAATGAAAATGTAAATTACCCGGAAGGATGGAATATAATAATCGACCATGTTTGACATATTTTAATGAAGTGAGTGAAACAAAGTTCAGTTTACATTTCATTCAAACTGTACATTTAATTGATTTTGAGAGAAATACAGCAAGCTAATTAGAAATATTAAATCATCACATGATAAAAAGTATGTATAAAACAACCTGGGTACCAGATTAACCAAGTAATTTGAACTCCTGGTCTCCCTACATAATTTTTAGTACTAGCTGGATGTCATTTCCTTAATAAATCAAGCACTGTAGTGGGAAAGTACATTGGCTTTATTAGGGTTGAAGTTCATTGACGACAATGTAATCATTCCTCCTGTTACTGAAGTCAGATTGACTTTAGAGACCCAGACTTTCTGCTTCTAATAATCCATACTTTCTGTCTGGTACTGGAAAGTAACAAGCTAAACATCATTTACACTTGACAGCTTCTTTAACATTATTTTTAAATGCCAAATATGTTCTTTCTAGAAAAATATTTATTTTTGTTTCTGTTATATAGCTTTTAACCGCATTTCAGAGAAGTGTGATTTTGGATAGATACTACACTTCTGAAATGTTTACTACTCTGAAACAAGAATTTAGATGACTGGTGATTATTGGATTTACAGAAATTTCAGAGAACTGATTTTAAAACCATGAACCATTTAAAAAAAATTTTGTTTTGGTTTCTGACATACTCTGTTTGACAAAGAGCAGCAAACCATTGCTGTGTGGCATTCTTGGAGTGTGCTGTGAACATGCTTTTTAAAATATTAAATATGAAGAGAGCATTTTAGAATTGGTTCTTTGTGTGGTTTCTTACTGTTCTTTATGATAACTTACATCCTGGCACCAAGTTACCCTTCTGTATAAAATTAAGTAGTGCTAATTAAGCAGTTTTTTCCCATTAAACTTCTCATAGTTAGATTTTAATAAATGACCAGTATATTTCACATTCCAAATAGGTTTTTCTCTGTGTATCAGAGAGTAAATATTTCACTTTGGGAAAAAAAGTGGGAAGTGTTGGTTTGGTAAGTAAAGACTCAAATAGGAATGGGACAAAACCACAATTTGGAAATAAGGATATTTTGTTTCACTTTATTGGAAGTAGATACATGAATATCTCTAAGTTACAGAAATAAGGATGACTGTAAAGTATTTTTATATCTACAAAATAAGTCTCTGCATTTCCTTCTTATAAAAAATCAAGTTTTCTGCTAAAAAAAGTAAAAGACATGCATGCTCATTTGAATTTATTACAGGGATTCAGAAATGCTAAAGTAAAAGTCCCTTGTATTCCAGAAAACATTGTTTATAGTGTGACATGCATCCCTGCCAATTTTTTCTCCTTCAATGTACGTTAATATTTTAAAATATCTGAACAGGAAGCAGGATGCAGTGAGGCAGCTGATGGTAAAATGTTGGTCATGGTATAGCCCTAAGGAAGATGAAGGACATGCAGTCCCCAAGATGTTAGAGGCAGGACATTTTTTGCTGCTCAGAAGAGATTGGTATCTGTACCTTCTGAGATTCTGGGCAGTTTTCCAGCACTTTAGAAGTTGGCTGGGGGGTGGGGGGCACCTGGCTGGCTCAGTTGGTAGAGGATGCAGCCATTGATCTCAGTGTCGTGAGTTCTTAAAAAGATTGCTTAAAAAAACTTCAAAAAAATTGAGAGTGAAAGCTCATCTGATTGTATTTTCAAACCTTAATACTTACATTTTGAGGATAGCTATTTTTCTGTTGGAGTTTTGTATGGATTACATACAAAATTAAGATTGATTTAAGTTTTCAAAGTTTATTTTATGCTTGGAAACCTCAGTTTACTCTTGTTAAAAAATTTATTTATTTCCTATATGTTTCTCAATTCAGGAATATTAAAAGGGTACATTTGGGAATAGCATTACTTTTACTGTCCTAGGCTTTCCAGCTTTTCCCAAACATAGCTAGCTTTTTGAGGATTTAAGATCAAATATAGTAGAAAGATAAAGTAGCAGAAGGAGGGGGAAGGTGGGATATTCATCACAGAATAAAGAGTGAGCTACTTAGAGCTCTGAACTTAATCTTTCTAATGCCTTCTGGAACAGAAAGAACACATAGTCAATAGAATACTTGACACAGAATCATAACAGTATCTGGGTAAAGCATCAAATGAGTCAAAATTTATGAAAACTCTGGAAAACATCAAAAAGGGTTTGAAAGTTGAATTTGAAGAAGAAACAAGTCCATTGCTCATATTATTAGTATATTGTTACTAACAAAAACAATTTCTCAATTACTCATCAGTTTCATTTATTTGAATTGTATCATATTTGGAAAATGGTAAAAGAAACATTGAACAGAGGACCCCCCAATTCATATGTTGCCTCCTTAACCCCTAATGTGATAACTGTCTTTAGAAATAGGGCTTTTCAGGAGATTAAATGAGGCGTTTTAAGGAGGCTTTTAATTCAGTTCAGTGAAGTCATCAAGGTGAGGCTTTAATCCAATAGGACTGGTCTCCTTAGAAGAAAGGGAGAGGCACCAGAGATTTCTCCCAACACAAGAAGAGAAGAAAAGCCACGGGAGGACGCTGAGAAGGCAGCTGTCTGCACCCCAAGGAGAGAGGCCTCATCAGTCACCCAGCTGTGCTAACATTTTGATCTTGGACTTCCATCCTCCAGAATTGTGAGAAAATTCGTTTCTGTTTTCAAATCATCCAGTCTGTGGTATTTTGTTATGATAGTACAAGTAGGCTGATACAAACCTAAGGTAGATATAAAGAATTTTTTAGTGGGCATCCTACTTCTTCAGCTGATATAAAAATTTTGCTTGGACAACAAATATTCCCAATTTGGGAAAATCTCAGGTGAGATTGTGGGAACATTGATCAAGGAGTAATCATGGAGAATGGGAAGCTATTGGAAATCCTGCAGGGGGCACTCCAGGACCACTTTTGAAAAGAAGAAGCTATTAAAAAAGTGAGTTGCATGTATAGAATTAATTATTAAAACGTTACTATCGTTTGAGCATGCATGAATTTCTAAAAATCCGTTACGCAGGCTTATTTTTTTTTAATATTTTATTCATTTATTTGACAGAGGTCACAAGTAGGCAGTGCAGCAGGCGGTGGGGGGAGTGTGGGGGTGGGGGGACAGAAGCAGTCTCCCTGCTGAGCAGAGAGACTGATGCGGGGCTCAGTCCCAGGACCCTGAGATCATGACCTTGAGCCGAAGGCAGAGGCTTAACCTGCTGAGCCACCCAGGCGCCCCAAGCAGGCTTACTAAGAATAGGGAAATAGAAGAGGTAGGATTTTGGACTCGTGCTATTCCCACCCACCCTTACCCAATAAAGTAGAAGAATGTAGACAATTGGGGTAACTTTAGATAAGATTAGCTTTTGAGCAACCTAGTAGCCAATCGTCAAAGATTCAGGTGACTCAAAGACTTTCCAATCAACCCTTGTTTTTTCATTGTTTTGGACAGATTGATGATAGAAAGGATCATCTATAGATATAGATATAAAGGATCCAGTTATCAGATTTTTGAAATGACAGGAATCTGCAAGTGAACGACGCCGGAGTTTGTTGAACCGTTCACCCACTAAAAGACATTTGGGGGGTTTCTAGTATCAGGTTGTTGTGAATAAAGCTGCCATGAACATGTGTACCCACAGTTTTGCATGAAGGAAATAGTGCAATTGCTATATGCTAAATGCGTGTTTAGTTTTATAAGAAACAAACTGTTTTCTAGAGTGGTCATATCATTTTACACTCCCATCTTCAGTGTATGAGTTTCTCCACATTCTTCCCAGCATTTTGTATAATCACTATTTTTCTTTTAATTTTAGCCATTCTAAATAGGTGTGTAGTGATACTTAGTGAGATCAGTAGTAATATTGACATGTGATTTTTTTTTTTGAAAACGCAATGAAATTATCAACGTTTAAAAGTTCCTTATAACTCAGTGAACAAATATTTTCCCAATGACCAGTGCATGATGTTACAAAATCATGTGTATTCTGGTTTTTTAAAATATGTCCACAAATTCTTTGATACCTCTTCTTTCAAAAGATGGAAGCTAATTCCCTTCCGCTTGAATGTGGACTTGATTCAGTGACTCTAATGAAGAGAACATAGCAGAAGTGCTGGTATGTGACTTCTGTTTAGTTCATAAGAGATACTGTAGCTCTGTCTTGTTCTCTCTGGGATCCCTGGCTCTCAGGGAAGCCAACTGCCATGTCTTAAGGACACTCAAGAAGCCTATACAGAGATTCACTCATGTGAGGAACGAAGGCCTGATAATAGCCACGTGAATGAGGTTAGAAGCAGATCCTCTGTCTTCAAACCTTCAGAGGATGGCAACCCTGGGCGACATCATAACTGCTACTCCTGAGAGACCCTGAGTCAAAACTACCCAGGGAAGTCGTGCTCACAGGCACAGAAACTGT